TATGACAGATATTATCTATACTAATATTACAAGTTTATTTGTTTGAACGCGCTAATCTCAGGAACTATTGGTACGAATTGAGAAATTATTTTAGTGTTGGTTGGAGCACTTATCGAGGAGGAATCATTTATATGGAAGAGATGGTTTGCAAAAATAATGCCCGAAAATAACTATTCCATGCGGACGAAGATGTAGGTACACCTAGTATCATATATGAAGGCTTGATTTCAGATCACGCTGATTTAATATTTTCACTGATAAATTTAAACCTTGGCATTCATTAGAAGTATTTTCCGAAACTGTAATTATTAACTTTTTACCAATTTCGGGATAAATAGCGTGAAGAGGTCAGTAGTGGAACCTAATAAACAAAAACCTAATTCTTGACAAACACCCAATAATTATTTGCACATTGGTCTAATTGTAGCAATATAGGGCTCATAACTAATTGGTGGGGGGTTCAATACCCATCGCGTCCAACAAACCCAGAAAACCCTCTTAGCCAAGATCAAGCTTTAAGTAGAAGCCAAGAAGTCCAACGTTGCTAATAAATTTATGATTTTTCTGAAACATGTTGGAGTATCGAAATTCCGTCCGGGTACAGTTTATAGATTTCCAAATATCCAAGGTCGACATAGATCAACAGCGCATCTTGTTAAATCTCATGGCTGGTACTTAACCTTGCATGAACCCCTTGCTTGTCTGCCCTATCATAAAGAGCATTATAAAGACTTCCCGCTTAAAAGAAAAGCGCTAAATTTCATTGCGGGTCAAAAATTTCCTTACCAACGTTCCTCCATAAACCTACATTTTAAGAAGCAATTATTTTGAAACGCAGCACTATAAGACAAAGCTGGCTTTTCAGAAACAACGCTTAATGAGCGCTCTCCGCATATATTGCGTAGTCTAAGAGATTACTTAGTTTAAGAAATGGTGCAACCTTTTTTCCTAACCCATCTCCTAGACTATTAAAAATGTTTTCCCGACGTAATACTTTCGTAAAGGTGGACCACACACACACTATACTGTAATTTATGGTAATGGTGGTGATAGCTACCATTTCAAGTTACAATTAAATCCAATTCATAATTTCAAGGCTATCCTTCACATGTACAGCAAATTGATATTTTTTAGATAAAGTGTTGTTAATTTAAATAAAACACTTGTTACGGTTTAAAACGCGAAATTTTTAGTTAAGTTGTTGACTTGTTGTGTTTGACAATTTATTTAACGTCTTCGCATTGTGTCTCCTCGTCATTCGAAACCGCGGCTACTGCAAGCATCTGAAACGTCGGGGCATAGTTAAAATAAATTATGAAAGTTATAAAATAATAAACGTAATTTTAAACCGTTAATATGTATTTATTTTAACTGTGTACAATTTAATTTATTATTCATTTTTTATGCAGGTCATTGTTAAAGGCATTGTCCAGAATTGCGTTAAGTATAAGAGGTCTTGGGTTCAGTTATAGCTACTAATAAATATACAAAAATATATATGTATAATAACTAATATATAATATGTTGCTTTTATACTTTAGTTTCGAGGATTTATTTTTACTTTACTTTTACATGATTTTTTGGTTGGTTTTTTTGATGGGCATGAGGTGAACACATATCTGTGTCCGTTACTGAGCAAGTAGTTTCAATTTCTACGTCTCGCCCGTCTGAAACAATTAACGGCTTGACCCTAGATTTGAGCCCGGGACTTCTTGAGCACTAAGATGAGCTACGGAATCCATTGAACAACGACAAGCTTACACCGCGAAGTACAAACTCTCCAAAAAACAAACCTCAATTTGGCCTCAATCCCCCGCCTCGTGAAAAATTATTTTATAGATTCAGTAGTTTTTATGTTTTAATTACTTTGAACAGGGGCGTCATCTTATAGAGGCGCTCTTAACCCAAATAAAGGATCATTATAATTAAAAAATCGGACAAGTTATGAGGAGACACTCACGAACAATGATTGCGAGGAACGGAGAAGCCTTAATTATTATTTATCATGATATCCTATTATTTATAAAACTTGTAGTAGCATCCGACAGTAGGTAAAGAAATAATGACGAAGTTTTTATAAGATCTTAAAAAGGACTTAGCCCCAAGTCCCAAGCTTTTGACCCCATATTAATTTACATTCATACATTTATAATATGTACATTCATATAGTGTATAAATTAATCTAAAACATACTTGTGTTAGTAATAAGGAACAACACAAAATTTACTACTAATTATATGTTATAAGTTAACTTATTTTTGGTTTTATTAAATGTTAATATAAAAGGTTATCACGTTTTAAACTATTAAAAATATAATTTTTGTTGAGTTTCCCGCCTGCGTTGCTGAATTTCCTTGCCGTTGATATCAACGGTTGTAATTGTTGTGCTACAGATAAATTGATTAGAAAATAGCTATAGAATAAAAATGGTAAAAATGGAATAGGTGTGTTGTGGGTTCGAATTCACTTCACTGTTCATCCCATACCCCACGAGAAACATTTCACTTGTAATGTTTAAAAGCCGAATTACTATGTACTAACGTTTCTTGTATTCTCCATTTTTACGACTTTTGTCCTGCCTCTGAAAATTCCTGTAGCTGTATTGTTAGTAATCATTTCAGTTTATTGCCAGCTACAAAAAATATGTCGTTACTGCCGCCACCGCGTTGCTTCGACGGTCATAATACGCGATGTATTGCTTTATAAAACAATATTTCCTTAAGGTATTTCGGGGATGACCCACTTTTGTTTCGCGAATAATAATAATTTATCTGACATACAACATCTGCCCCTTATACGCATAGAATAACACGATTCCGTTGATTTCCGTAAGTTACTTTCTATAATAGTATAATACAAAACAAGTCACACAGAAGAAGCAGTTGAATTTATAAAAAAAATAAGCTTTAAATATTAAGATGGTGGTATACGTTGTCTACTAGTTGCGCAAATAGTAGACAATTTATCTCCAATAATAATACGGGTCGTGGGTTCAAATTACACCGGGTCTAGCATTTTTCTAAAAATTAATTTATAAGTTTTCTGAACATTGTTCAGTAAACAGTGAAAAAGCTGTGAAGAGTATACTCACGTATCAATTTGTCATGTCCATTGCTCAAACAGGGTGACAGAGTAGGTATCTTGTTAAGATTTACACGGCTCTACAAATAAAATTAAAGCGACTTGTCAATCGTCCTATCTCATAAAAAAATTAGTTGTCACACTTAACCATTTTTTGGTATCTATTAGTTTACTTTATTTACAAATCATTTTATCTATCGCTCGTTGTTTCGGATGCTTGCAGCAGCCGTGGGAAGCGGACACGTCGGGCCGTAGTTAAAATAAGTTTAACTAATATATCGCGTTTCAAACCGTTGAAGTGTTTTATTTAAATGTGTACTTCTCGCGTAAACTATAGACAGTATTTAATTCTGGATACTGTTAGCACGAACTTTCGATGACATGAGTTTTTGAAATTTTTAATATTTTACACGTATTATTGCACATGATGGCACTATAAATTAAAAAAAAAATACAGCTCGGGCAGGCACCGGAATCCTTAGCGTTCCGTACTGTTGCTCTTACCAATTGCGCGAGAGTGTACCAATACGTTGAAGACTATTAATATATAAGAGATAACTCAATTGGTTACAGCAGGAGCACGGAACGCTGAGGATCAACTCCTGCCCGACATGGTTGTTCCACCGTCCAAAATTCTTGCTAAAACTATTCTTGTTAGAACCCCATAAATGTCTATAACAACACCCCATTGAATATATCAAATCGCGAAACAAAAAATTAAATGTAAATATTATTCAAAGAGATGTCATATCTATGCAAATTGGTTATGTGTCAGTTCTGAAGCTTTAAGTCACTTTTGACGAGGGTCCAGCCCTGAATAAGTAATTAATGTATGCCTTGATGTACAAAAGAAAAAAGATATATTCCCCAATTTGAGAAACACCTGTATGAGGATTAATTTCAAAGGATTACAACGGTCTTTTGTAATGCTGTTTGTCAGACTGATGTCTCTGTAATAAATGGCCATTGTGAAAAGGGCTCCTGCAAAAGTATAACTTGGATTGAAGAGGAAGTAAAAAAAAGAAAAATATACATTTGTTTTACTATTTGTGACGCTGTGAAAAATTATTGAATGAAAAAATCTTTAAGCACATTTTTGTAAGCGCTCAAAACTCACATCAGGACATTATATTATCTTATCGAAAATTTGTAAGACACAGGGGTAGAAGCCAATATAAATTGTCATTTTGTTTACGATAGCGATAAATAAATATTGTATGTTACATAAAAATTATAGGACTTTTATGCTCTACAATAAAACATTTCGTGTTCAAATAATTATCTAACCATTAGAAATATCTAAAATACCATTTATATATTTAAGTTTTCACTTCTTACTTTTATTAGGGCGTAATAGAAACAATATTACAACAACTATATTAGTACTATAGATCGTCTATCGTACTATCGTTGAAATACATGTCGAATGTAGCGTGTTAGATTCAAGTCCCAGAAAACGCAATAGTCTCGGGTGTGAGAGCCAACAAGTCTATATTTACTTACCTGTTAATCTCATTATGTAATAAATACAAAAATATGATTACCAACACGGGGATACGAGATAACACTTTTTACTTATAGAAGAAATACTATGTCAACTTTCATAAACTTTCTCCGAATATGCTTTTGATTGAGTCAGATACATTGTAATTGAAAACCATTTGGATGACACAATCAGTAGAATATGTTAACTAAACCATTTCCCGTTGAAACCGTTAAAAATGTTTTATTCCAATCGACAGAGGAGTCAAATTACTATTTCTCAATTACGACAGTACAGCAGTTCGGAAATTAAAGCTTTAATAATACAAGTTGTCAAAGGCGTGTAACATCAAAGGCGTTGAAATAACAAAAATACTTGTCAATAAAATGTAATCAAAATCACTCGATACAAGAAAGAAAATCTATCCACGAGCCCTTCAGCTCTTGAAGTGCAGTTCCGGGGCGTATTTGTAAACGCACGCCGTTATTTCATTTCCCAACTGACAATTGTTGACCTGATGGTGATTTATCTGAAAATTTAAATTTGAAACGCTCAATACAACGCGATATTCATGTTTTGAGTGACTTGACAACTGGTCGGATTCGTGGGACATTGTTGTGTGAATTTCGGGATTAAATGGGATATTTTAAACCTCGTTTGAGTTGTACACGATCATATCGTATTATTTGTAAATGTTTGTGGTATTGTCGTATTTATTGTGAATTTATTTGCACGCTGCGTAGAAGTTGAAAGACTAGATTTTGACGGGTCGGTTGATACAATAAGGACAATTTATGACTAATAATTGACGGGTCCTGTGTTCGATTCCCATCGGGTCGAACATGTTTCTAAAAATATATATTTTTTAATTTTTTAAAGCATGTTAAATTGTCCACGTATTTTGGGTTTGGACATCCGGAAATCCACAGAATGAAACCGAAACGATTAAGTTTCACGGCGTGTTTATCTGTGGACGGTGCTCCGTTACCACGCTGCGGAACTTCTATATTCCTACAACTCATTCAAAAAAATCGTGAATTGAATAATTAGAAACATGTGGGTCCGGTGGGGATCGAACCCACAGCTCCTTGATTATTAGCCATAAGACCAACTCGCCCGTCGAAAATTTATAAATAAATAAAATTTATTTAAAATTTATTTGCTAGTTATACTACGTTTAATTTCGGGAATTCTTTTCGGAGGATGTCAATAAAACTCATTTCATATAAAAATATAAACAAATACCTCTTTGTCGCAATTTTCAGCTACATTCTTCATGTGTTCCAATTTTTTTCCGTTATTGAAAATTAAGGGCGACAGAGCGACGACGAAGCCCTTTTTGGAAAATCTCTCGTCTTTCACAATGCCGAGCTGAAAAGTAAAATCATAAACACAGTTACGTCAAAACTTAAAATTAGATAACTCAAACTATGTTTTATTAAATACTGCCTGTGTAGTTTCTGCGACACATTTAAATAAAACACTAACGGTTTAAAACGCAAATAAGATTAATCAAACTTATTTGTAAATAATATATTAAAGTGGTTTAATAGCGAATTTCAATGTAGGCCTAAAATGACTGTAAAGAGAAGATATCCAGATAGATACAAGCTATAACGCACTACGTAACGAGTCGTATTTGGAAAAAACACCATCGCTAAAATTATTTTAGATAATTTTAACGATGGTGTTTTTTACACAAACAAACATTTTAATAATAACATTTTATAACGAGACAAGCGAGAAAAAAACGGTACTCTACCAGTTGTGAGTTTTTGTCATTATAACTACTCAACTAATTATTTTTTAGTACAATTAATGAGACATCTAAAAGAATGCTTTAATTTATAAGCTTCAGAAGTAGAGGATGTAAGGCCCTATGATCTTGACTAGCAGTTAAGTGGATAGTCTTACGCTATTCTTTTGTTTGCACAGTAAATGAACTGAGCTAACAGTTCTTATCGATAGTTAGGCTCTTGGCTGACTATTCCTTATTACATTCTGACGTCAACATGTTTTCGAATACTATAGCTATGGCTTTATTTATTACACGCCATAATGAGATATAATTTAATAGCAATAGTTTTGTAATTGTAGAAATGTATGGCTCATAATCAACTGGAAATCTGGATATAAAAATGGATGGTATAATATCGAAATTCTGTCAGGGTCATGAACCGCCGTCCACAAATGTAAAAGCCGTGAAGTTTAACCGCGTTTTGGTTAGTCTGTGGATTTCCGAATATCCAAAGACCAAAAGTTCGCCAGCGCATCTTGTGTAGGTGTTACGGAGGGTATCTGTCCGCCTCGATCATTAAAAAAAAATCTTTTTTGTGAGCTTGAAAAAGTTTTTACGCACTCAGTGTACATTCTACCAGAAGGGTCGTTGGTGGTACCCACTAAAAACAACATTATTGCATAATAGGGGAAAAGACCACCATTATTTTCGGTATTACCTTCAATTCTGGTGAACCTGGATAATTTTGTTTAACATCAGATTTTTAAGGCGAATTGGTTTTGTGGGCGGTGACCGTAACTTCTTCTCACCCCTGCTCTCTTATCCACGACTTCCCAGAATTGCACGATTTTGAACAAGCTTATACCATGTTTGTATTAATTAAATTACTCACATACAACTTAATATAAAAACGAATAGAGAGATATTTACAATAAATTTATTGCGAAACATATCCAAGATAATTGTGGATAGTTTTCCTCAATTGCCAAACGAAAGAAAAAGACTACTGGCGACTTACAATATAATTTCGTATACCACTATACTTTGAACAACGACCTCAATTATTGTCTATTCCGTATCTATTAAGACTTAACAAATAAACCGCCCAAGCGCTATTCGGGATTTCATTCGTAGAGGTTCATACTAGGTAGAAGAATTTTATATTATACCTTTATTTAATTATTAATGACATTTTACTGATATCGACCACAAATAGGTAAAACAAAATATTTTGTTTTTAAATTAATGTTAGTACTTTACGGGAGTATTTCTCATTTAAATAAAACACACATCACAGCTACTGCGAAGCATCCGCGTCGGCCCGTAGATACAAAGCTTTGTATGTAAAATTCAAACCGTTGAATAACTTTTAACCATTAAAACTTAAACACTGGCTGTTATTTACGAGATAAAACACATTAACAATTTAAAACGCCAAACATATTACTACAGATGGCGCTAGCGGAGCAGTTTTTTACTTTGACATTCAAGACCCCTTCATAATATATAGTCTGCCCGTGATCACGGTTGCTGCAAAACGTCCAAAACGTCGGCCGTAGTTAAAATAATTTCTAAATAAGTTTCACTAATGTATTTCGCGTTTTAAACCGTTAAAGTTGTTCAAAATTTATTTTACTTTCGCATGTTAAACCGTTAAAAATCCGACTTTTTTACTGTAAATCATTAAATTATTTAATAAAAATTGAAATTACGACTTCCCGAAGCCTGAATAAACATGTAATATAAAACAAGGTAAACTGTACCTTTTCGAATAAGCAGCTAATAATACAAGCAGACTTTTCCGGAAAAGGCGGCTCATTCCGTAGATTTTCCAAATCAGCTTCCGTCGCGTTGACCTTAGTCATGCACTGCTTTGATGTCGCTCCTAGTGCTTTGTAAATGACGCTTTTTAAATGGCCGTCTGTCGAATAAACACGAATAATTACGGTTAAATAAAATATTTCTTGACTACCACTCGGCACACTAATGGCTAACTGTAATATGTCCTTCTAACACACAGCCCAAGTAGTCCAGAGTACCTGCAGTCCAAGTCTTAATATCCCCCGTGGGGCAATGGTCAAACACATTTAAATGTCCGTTTTAGTCATCCATTTTTTTAAGCAAACAGCGGACGACAAGAATTATTTGAAACGTAAAATTACTTTACTTTATCCTATGAATTGTTTATTTTTACAGTTCCCGGGTGGAATTATATCTGTGTTTTTAAACATATTTCAGAAATAATATAAATTGATTAGAAAAATGTTGGACCTGGTGGAGATCTAACCCACGACCCGTTGATTGTTAGCCGTACATTGCTACAATTACTCTTTAATTTTGTACATAAATTTGTCTCTTGGATTTAATAGATAAACCTTGAGTAATAAATATACACACATATTATAATTTTATCACTAGGCATAAGTTAAATTGGGAGCTTTGGAGTCGTACAAACGTGTTCCCAGGGCTCCCTCAAAGCACCGTAGAGGGCTGGTGGTGGGTAGTCTGGTCGGCTATACGATTTACCACACTGCCCACGCCACACTTGCCCGACGTGGGCGTGCATTAAGCATTCACGCCATCAGTAAAAAACGGCATAAGTAAAATATGAACATATTAACTTACGCCTATTTCTTAATAAATGTCTAAAAACACTGTCTATAGTTTACGCGAGTAGTACACATTTAAATAAAACACTTTAACGGTTTAAAACGCGATATATTAGTTAAACTTATTTGGAAATGATTTTTAACTTCAGCCCGACGTTTCGGATGCTTTGCAGCTTTATTTTAGTTTTATTTAAAAATGTCTACAAAACAAACTCAAACCATATAAAACCAAAGTAATTTCGAACTAATTTAAAATTCTTGTAATTTTTTGACTGACAGAAACGGAAAAAATTGCGCTTGGCATAAACAGTCGTCTCGATCCCAAGGGATGTTTCGAATAAGGGTATTATAAGTTACGAATGTTAAAATTGAAATTTCACATACCTGGCTGAGCCAACGCGGAATAAATTAAAACACTCATGTAGAGAAATTTAAATTGAAGCATTGTTGCCAGTCGAAATATCCACGAAATAATAACTGAATGAGCTCCACTATTTTCGAGATAACATCGACACGCTCCATTATATTAGGTAAGAATCAAATTAAATTAATGCGATTCATAGATTAAAATGTAGTTTATTGAAGGTTGTTTTTATGACCACTATGTATGGAGTATGGCATAGCTTTTTTGATAAAAATAACACTATTTTTCTTGCTGTCTTGTAATGTAATAAGTAGTAGAATGTATGTAGTTTTTTTTTTATTGTTCTAATATTTATTTATAATTTTTCAGAAGATTTGCGAATACCAAAGGATAGCAAAAATTGAGCACAATGCGCACAATCATTCAATTAGCCACTTTGCAAAAAATCTGTGTTTTGTATGTAGGAAACATTCCTCAATTGTTTCAGAAACAAATGCAACAAAAGTCGTTTTTTTACAGCACAAGACAGCACAAAGCAGTAAATAAAATGGTTATTATATTTACAATACGTTATGTTGTTGGCCCAACTCTAAAAAGAATTGACTATTAACTGGCTAACTGACTGAATAGTTGGCTGTAAACACAGACATAAACCTGTCCCCACACAGAGAAACGTATTTCTTCTAAAAGTGAATAAAAACCTATTTCGCACAGTTCAAACGTTTTAATAAAAGAATACTTCATTTTATTTAAATATAAAACATATATATCCTTTGCCTTACACAAAATAATGAGCGGGCCTCGAACTCACTTCCACAGCGTGTCGTCTCTTGAACGTTGATGGAATTTTCTCATTCATTTCCGACACGACAGTCGCGTATTGTAATCTCCACCTTAACTCCTACGTTCTAAGGTTGAAAATCTTCTATTTAACAGAAAATCTTTTAACGAAAGATGATTCTAATCGAAACGCTTGTCGGTTGGTCTTAATTGGAATTAATTTCTTAACAAATCCTCCGGGTACGGGAATGACGCGTCCCCTGGAAGTCCGGGGATAAAATTAACTTATAACAAAGTTTGCTTAACTTCTATATTTTTGTTAGCATTTCACGACCTTGTTTAAGTACAGTTTGTTTATTTTAGGCGCTTTTACGGCGTATTATTAGAGAAATCATTTGATACTAATCAGCTAACTCTATACTAATATTATAAATGCGAAAGTAACTCTGTCTAACTGTCTGTCCGTCTTCCATTCCGAAACTACTGAACTGTTTTAAGGGAGTGATGTGAGGTGAAAATGTTGCGGCTAAGTAGCACTTACAACATAGATTGGCTGTTTTAAATGCGCCCTTACAAAAATTAATAAATAGTTAGGCTATTTATTAATTTATGTTATGTAATGTAATGTAATAATTCAAAATTCTACCCCATGTCACTATTACACGCGGACGAAGTCGCGGGCATAGCTGTTTATTATAAAACATAAATAAGGTAACTTCAAATAATTCGCTAACGACGTCCGAAGGAAATAAAAATCTAGTATAATAATGACTGTAGTTCACAGGTACATTTAAATAAAAACACTTTAACGGTTTAAAACGCAATATACATATTATTAAGTTAAACCGCTAAAGTGTTTTATTTAAAAATGTATGGATTTGTTACCGACTGTCTCTAGATCCAATTGATTTGTAACTGGGAAGCTTTATCTAATAAAAAAAAAATACATAAAAACCATCGTAGCAATTTTGACTTTGACATTAGGGACCCTTCAAAGTCTCTCACCCGTGGCCACGAAACGTCGGGGCGTAGTAAAAAGAAATCGTAAATAAGTTAACTAATATACATCGCTTCTTATCCCATTAGAATGCGTTATTTAAAGTTAAAGGCATTTCTTATGAGCGCTAAATTTAAACTTTTCCTTAAAACTCTTGAGTACTCACGCCTCTTGGACGAAAATGGGCCTTTGAAATTAAAATAAACGTCGCCGAGCAACTTTCAACTGAATTTTTAAATTCAAATGTAACCCACATTACGACAACACTAGTATGGACATTTTTATATGCGCTCGAGTTTTGTTCCAGAATTGTAAAACAAAGCTGTTTATTTTTTATTTTCCTTTTAAATAAAACATTTTAAAAAGTTAAAAACGCGAAATATATTAGTTATTTATTTACAATTAATTCAAACATCAGGTATTAAGAAATAGGAAAATCTAAGTACTGTCTGTATTTTGCACGAGTAGATTAAATAAAACAATTTTAACGGTTTAAACGGATATGTTAAGTAACAGCAAACTAGGATTTACGCTAAATTCAATGTAAAAACTTTATTTTGAATGTATGGTTGGTTTTAATAGGCGATGATTTATTTCTAACTTCTTTTCTTTATTCAGAATTTGGGGACCCACAATCATGAGATTCATTTGACGAAAGATAAAATACCTTACCCATAATAAATATAACACCAAGACAAGATACACCGTTAACTTATTTTTGGCTTTGGACGCTTAGAAATCAACGAACTGAAACCGAAGCGTAGACTTACACTACGCGAACTTTTCATCTGTGTTATAGGGAAATTTACTATTGCTACCATTTACCATCCAAATTTCCAAGTACCAAGCCGTTTCATTACAAATATGAATTTGTTAATATGTTAGACATGGTGGGGATCGAACTCGCGACTCGTTGATTATTTATGCAGCTACCATAGTTTTTATTCCACATCTTACTCTCTGAGTAGTTTTGTAGATATTCATTTGTTTTTTTAATACATCCAACTTGAATGGCCGACCATAATTAACACGCCGATAGTGGCGTAACTCCTCCTTTGTGATTTTAAGCCCGATATTATAACGTATCCCAATTTAACAATCCATTTGCACTCCGTTTGTTTTGATCTCGCCGCAAATTAGAGCGTGTGCAAATATTTCTGTCAAACGCACTTCATAATTCCACAAAGGTCTGTCAAAGCTCCAATATTAGTTTTCGTAATGGGACGTTCGCCGAACGTAATTTATTAATTTTATTATCGTTATTAAATGGTCTAATAAGATTTAAGGGCTTATCTGTACAATAAGTTGTCTGGAGTATACGCCCAGTCAATTAATTTCTTTAACAGTGTTGTCTGTAGTTTACGCGAGTAGTACATATTTAAATAAAACACTTTACGATTTAAAACGCGATATATATTGGTTAAACTTATTTGAAATAACGTCGGGCCGTAGTTAAAATAATTTTTAAACAAGTTTAACTAAAATATATCGCGTTTTAAACCGTTAAAGTGTTTTATTTAAATAATAGACACAGTAATTAACTATGCAAAGTGTGGGTTTTTGAACTTCAATCAATCATTTTAAAGCACTTTATAATATGTAAACATGTGATTAATATCCGTACTCAATTCGAGGTAGAATATGTTCATGAAAGGGGTTTAATCTTCAAATTCTAAACATTACTATTAAACTATGCTCGAAACCCAATTCAGCACAATTTTGTTAACAAAAGGTCTGACGATTCTCGGATATTGCCACATCTAACTTTCTAGACTTCTAGCAGTAGTTACAGTAGATTTGGGTTAAATGAATAAATAAAAATGAAAACTACCTCCAAACTATAATATATAACAATGGTTAAGTACATGTTGTCTAAGCTAATTGATTTAAAACCATGCGAAGTAGGTTCTATGCCCGACAGCAAAACGTTTTTCGTTTCTCCGAAATGTGAACCTGAAACTGATTGTGTTGAACGCAACGCAGAAAGGTAAACTTTGATTTGCATTATTACTTTTACAACACGGAAAATTGATTTTTTTTAAAGAGGACATACAAACGTAGGATTTGCTTGATGAAATTCATCGAGTTACATTTCTTCAACCAAATTTAATTGCCATAAAAACGGTTCTTTCCTGTTAGTCTAGTTAGAAGATAGAAATAGTATATTCTTCTATTATAGCCAAAATAGGTTAACAGCACATGTCTTTAGATGTTACAAGGCTAGGTATTTTTACTACCATCAAGTGAAACTTACGCAAGCATCTGACTTCCTCTTATATCATAAAAAAAAACATATATTTTTTTAAATCTTTTAAAGTGGAATCGTTTGTTCTTGCAACGAAATGGAGTCCCTCAAAGATTAATATTTTCCCCATGTTTTCTAGATTTCCAACTTTTTCTGCAATGCTATTGGTAGCGAGTTACAGCTCTTTTCCATAAATGTTCCATAGAACAGTAATTTTCAATTTAAACCAACACTTCCAACTGTTTAAAATATTAGTATAGATAAGGCGGCAAATTTAAAAATTGATGATTAAGAAAATCGATGTTACATAGTCGTGATTTTTACATATTAATAGACCCAAAACAACAGATACAATATTCCGCTGAGTTCACTCAATTTTCATTACAAATCTGTTTGCCCTAGTGCGATCAAAAACAATGATCGTAAGACAGTCGGTAAACATATTTCCTCAAACAGACTGGAGTTCTGCCAAGCTATATCGATCGAGGCCTGCAAAGGCTCTGGTGATATGTAGTGTTTTTATCATAAATTATGTCGCATTAGCATTTGTACCGAGTCAGGGAGGCATGAAATCTATATACAGAGTGTTCTAAATTACGCGAATTCAAAAAATTCTCTGTTTCGGTTTGTTTTTATGATAGATAAAGCATGGAGTACACTTGATGATAGTTGAAACATATAACATTTAAACAAGATGTGTTGTTGACCTATTTTGGCTTTGAATATCAGATTCGGCATTCACAGAGTGGAATCGAAACACTCATAAGCTTGACGGCTTTTTCATCTGTGGACGGTGGTTCGTGACCCGGACGAAGTTTGGATGTTCCTACCACTCACAACGTATAACGTCGTGATAAGTATAACGCCCATCATCTTCCAGTCGCAACTATCATCAAAATCTATATCAATCTTCCAATTTTGAGCAGCAAGGCTTTATTATTTCCAGAATTTTAGTAACTTTATCCTGTTAAAGCAGGTTTCTCGTTCTTTCGTTCTTCCTTTGATAGTTCAGCGTAGACTTTGAGATTCTTTATTTGCTACTAGCTGTGCCCGTAACTTTGTCAATGTGGAATAGTTATTTTTGACATCATACTATTTATTTTTGATATGTCTTATAAAATATGTCTGATATCTACAACATCATCCGCTTCCCGTCGGTTTTGCAAATTAGTCTTAAAAGATAAATATATCGAGCGGACATTTTCTTTAATAATTAAAAAAAAATCATACACAACTTTTGGTTTCTTAAACACAGCGCACGTTTTTCTTTGATCTTTGCTGTTTTCGGTCGTCATCTAATATTTTCTAACCTGTAGTTACTTAATAAATGTTCCAATCTACGTAATAATAAATTTTCAATTCGAACAAGTAGTTCCTGAGATAAGCGCGTTCAAACAAACAAAGAAAGTCATTAGCTTTATAATATAAGCTTTTGTGATACGTTGGTTTTAATTTATTAATTTGTATGATAAGCTAGGTATTTAATATATAAACTGTCTGACTAAGCAGATTGTAGGACTATAATTGTTTTGAAAATAACAAAAAATTTTAGCCTAGTCTAAAAAGCCCTGAGAAAGTGTTAGTAATTAAATCTTAAGTACAAGTTACGGCCTAATTGAACTTTGATGTCTTATTCCTTAAGTGCTCTTAAAATACTGAACAATAGATCTTTAAGTGTTTAGTAAGCCTGAAGTGAAATTCCTTCAAGGTCGAAGGAAATATTTTCGCTAAACTGACAACCAAAAGCACTTCTTTAGTGAATGTTATTGGAATAGACGAAAATAGATTCAATACAAACGATAACTTTTTTTTTTTAATGGTAGAATAGGACAGACAA